CCTCCTCCTCCTCCGCCCTCCTCCTCCTCCTCCTCCTCCTCCTCCTCCTCCTCCTCCTCCTCCTCCTCCTCCTCCTCCTCTTCCTCCCTTCTCTTCTCTTCCCGCTATTCTTCTTCCCACTACTACTTCCCTTTCCCCGTTCCAATGCTCTCTTGCACCCGCTCCCCGTCCTCCCTGTCACCCCTCCTCCCCCTGCACCTGATCGAAGGGTCGGACAAGAACGCAAGCCCGCAAGCCACCCAGTGGCACATGATAATGTAGACGGTAACCACCTGGAAGAGAAGGGCGAGAGCTCAGTACATGAGGAGCGAAACGGATGATCGACATGTCGACCAGCCGAGGAGGGCGATAACAGGAGCAGCAGCAGAAGCGACAGGAAACCATTCCGAAAGGAGGGGGGGAGAGGAGGAGGAGGAGGAGGAGGAGCACCAGCACCAGCCGGAGAAAGCACCTGGAGGTAGATCCATCGCTGACGTATGTTGGTAGAGACTGTGCTGGCCTGCTCGTGGGATGAGTTTCAACTAGGGGACTCACATCCTGTCACGTAGAAGTTGTAGAGCTTGCGGAAGCGATAAATGCGAAGAGCCTTGCCTGTGAAGATAAAAAGGAGGAGAGGAGGAGAGAGAACAAGGAGGAGAGAGAAGAAGAAGGGAGAAGAAGGGAGAAGGAGGGAGAAGGAGGGAGAAGGAGGGGACAAAAGAAAAGTAGAAGTCAGTAACTTCATGATGAGTTGTTTCACCAAATATTCACCGAGTTTTGAAAGTTTGAAGAAACGAATGAGAGTCGTACTTGTGTTTTGCTGTTACGAGTTGTCAGCATGTGAAACTCTTCCCTTCCCTTTCAAGAGCCTCCTCTCCTCTCTTCTCCCCTCCCCTCCCATCCCATTGGCCTCTCCCCTCCCCTCCTCTCCTCTCCTCTCCTCTCCTCTCCCCTCCCATCCCATTCGCCTCTCCTCTCCCCTCCTCTCCTCTCCTCTCCTCTCCTCTCCTCTCCTCTCCCCTCCCATCCCATTCGCCTCTCCTCTCCCCTCCTCTCCTCTCCTCTCCTCTCCTCTCCTCTCCTCTCCTCTCCTCTCCTTTGCTTACATTGCTTTCCTTCGACTGAGTCGCTATGGACCACATGATGAGATCGATAGGGAGGGAGGACAGCATATCTAGAAGGAACCAACCCTGAGAGCCGCCAACAGTCAGACAAAGAAGCAGATGTGCTCCATGTGTTCACCTGGATGTATGCTTTTGCAATGAGCAGCGGACGAGTTTCAAACTGCTCAGAAAGGCGGGAAAGGAGCTGAAAATGTTTTTAGAGAGGAAGAAGCGGGGGAACGAGGAGGAGAAGGGGGCGGAGGAGAGAGAAAGGAGGAGAAAGACGTGAAGGAGGGATCAAGTGATCTTGTGGCTACTTGAACAGCATCTTGAGATGTCGGGTAAGCCATCCTAAATGTCAAGATGACATCGACAAAGAACATCTAAAATTGAAAATAGAAATATCAGAAACTGCAACCGTTTTGCCGTCTCTCCGCCTTTACTCTCTTCTCCTCCTCCTCTCCTCTCCTCTCCTCTCCTCTCCTCTCCTCTCCTCTCCTCTCCTCTCCTCTCCTCTCCTCTCTCCTCTCCTCTCCTCTCCTCTCCTCTTCTCCACCAGTATCACCAAATCCATTAAAGTGTGCATGATGAACCACAGGTCGTCGATCGAGCAAGTTCCTCCGGCAATACGATACTCAATGACCGTTACTTGCTGTTCATTCACTTCATGTCATTTCATTTCCCTCTCAATCACACCATGATTGCATCATCATCACTATCACCATCACCACCACCACCACCACAATCATCATCATCATCATCATCATCTTCATCGTCATCATCATCTTCATCATCATCATCTTCTTCTTGTTCATCATCATCATCATCATCATCATCATCGTCATCATCGTCATCATCATCATATCCATTATCATCATCGTCGTCGTCGTCATCATCATCTACATCGTCATCATTCATCTCATCTCAATCAATATCACAGTTTGCTGGATCGTTGGGTCCCTCTTGCACAGTTTCCTGGAAAGCGCATTCAGCCATCAACATCATCGATCGTTTTCCTCTTCCACTGACCTCAAGTCGAAACTTTGCTCTTGATCTTGTCGTCTGTTTGCAATCGTTTCATTCATCTTCTTCCTCTTCATCTCACCAACTCACGTGAACACATAGGAAGGATTCAAGTTCTGCCCTGAGCCACTGAACGTCCCGGTGAGCGAACGGATGGGAGGGAAGGAGGAGATGGAGGAGAGACCTGTATGCCGAGGGAAGAAAGGAAGAACCGAAACTGATCTGATAGGGCATGCCGAAGACCTGAACACAGGGTTGAGGTGTGAGGACAAGAGGAGAAGAGAGGAAGAGGAGGAGGATGAAGAATGAAGAAGGATGAGCAAGCGAGGAAAGGAAGCTGGCAGGGAGCGAAGGGGCGAGCAGGAGCTCAGCTGGCACAGGACGAGGAGAATGAGGAGGTGGCGATACCGCGTAGAGGACGAGGAACATGATGAAAGCATCCCATGTCAGCTTCCATCGTGCTCGAGGGTTGATGATGCCTGGAGGGAATCGAAACCATTCCTGGAGGAGGAGACGAGTTGAGGAAAGAAGATCTGAACATGCGAAGATGCTGCGACAGAAAGCGAAGCAGCAAGGGCAGGTGAACCCAGGGTTTAGGTAGCAGACAATGACGATGAGTGAGGAGGAAGACAGGAAAGAAGCGTAAAGGGAGGAAGGAGAGGAAGAGGGAGAAGAAGAGGAGGGAGAGGAAGAAGTTGATTTACTTTGTTGTCTTCATCCTCGAAGTCAACGATCTGACGCCACAGTTGCTGGTCGACACTGCAGGAACGAAGGCGGTAAAGGAGATGAGATGGTCAGAAACATCCAGAAACATGAGAAGACGAGGAGGAACACAGCGATTCGAGAAGGAAGGAAAAACGATGACAGACAATAAGACATTACAATGGGAGGAGGCGAAAGAGAAGGAGAATGATGAAGAGAACGTTCAGGAGGTGGACGTGGAGGACGTGGAGAAGGAGGAGGACGTGGAGGACGTGGAGGACGTGGAGGACGTGGAGGAGGAGGAGGAGGAGGAGGAAGAGTTCTGCTCTTACTCTCTATGATTCAGACGGTTAATCTCTTGCTCGTCCATGCACGAGAAGCAGCGAGAGATTGACTGATGAAATCTTGAACTCCTCTCTTCCTCTCTCTTCCTCTCACCTCCCTTCCCTTCCCTTCCCTTCCCTTCCCTTCCCTTTCCTTCCCTTCCCTTCCCTTCCCTTCCTCTCTTACCTGTCCAACGCCCTTTGAAGAAGTGGCTGACAGCTTTGACATGGACGATTTGCGATCGTTGACGAACTTCCTGTAGTCTGCCCCGAGATCCAAAACCTCCCTCCTGATGTTTCAAGTCAAAGTGACCAAGAAGAGATCCAGGAGGCAACAGAAAGGAGGCGGGAGCAACATGGAGCAACATGGAGGGAGGTGACAAGGGAAGAGGCAAGAAGATTGTTGATGAACCAAAAAATGCAGAGAGATAGTGGAGATGGAGGGGAGAGAGGAGGCAGATAGTGAGAAGGAGAGGAGGAGGCGGAGGTAGGAGATTATAGGGTCACCCGTGTTGCTTCGAGAAGTAGTCTAGAGTTGCCCGGCTCCTCGACTCCTCCTCGCTCAACGTTTTCTTCTCGGTCGTCCCAAGTTTTTGCACCATGGCAGAGTGAAATTCTTGCTCACAGCATCGGACAACCACAAAGAGTTTGGAGTACCTAGAACATCTTGCATCAATGGCTGACAGGACCAATGAAAAGAAAAAAAACATGTCAAAGACGCTCGAATCGATGGCTCTAACGCTGCGAACGTGGATATCCACGAAGTGAGCGTCTTCGTGTGGATCTGCTGAGCTGTAAAAGAAAAGCAAACGAACGGGGCAGGTCACTCGGTAAGTTTGCCATCTTCTTGGACGTTTTTCTCTGCTGTGAGAATTCAGCGTTCAACCCGATGCGTTCCCCTCTAGCGCCTTACATGACTTGCGGCAGCTGGTTGGTCGCCGGCAGCATCGAGGTGAGTGTAAGTGCAAGTGACCTGCAGGAGGAGCGATCAAGACAAGCAGGAGCAGAGCAGTCTCATCTTCCCACCTCCAGCATGGGGCGAGAGACTGTTTGACCGTGCAGATGCTGATCGTCGAGCCCGTTGTCCAGCACCGGGTTGAGGTTCAGCCTACCATGCGTCATTCTCGCAGGGCAGAGGAGGTGAAGATTGCCAGAGGTCCTTGCGCCTTTGAGGATACTGGGAAACAACTCCTGTGCTAGACAAGTGAGCAAAGGGAAAACAAGCAAAGTCGGTACAAGAACCGTGAAGGGATTCGATGGCTACCGATCCATTGAAAGCCTCCCTGTGATAGCATTCCTCCTACAAGGCACGGAGCGTCATGGCTGACGAGAACGGCATCTGGCCTTCACATTCTGTTTGTCTGAAACGCCATAGATCGAGAAGTGAATCCTCTCGTTCATGATGTCACTCTGAATCCAGTTGTCAGACAACGTATTTCTTTGTCGTACAAAACAGTCTCATACCCTCTTGATGCCGGCTCTGTACTTCTCATGACAAAACACTACAACAGCAAACACCGTCAATCAAACATGATCGTGCGAACTGAGTGAGACGTCCACTCACCCATCGCGTATTGTTTCTTCCCACTCTCAGATCTTCCAAAGACTTTCAGCACTGAAACGTGAAAGGAGCATGAAAAGACTTCAGAGGTCAACAAACAGAGGATGGGTAGAAACGCTCACCAGGAGCAAGATGCTCCATATCTTCTGCATTCATCTTTTCCACGAGCTCATCGATGGTCTCCATTCCTGACGGTGAAAGAGCAAGCAAGTCATCGAAACATTCTCAGTGTCACTCCGATCATTTCGTCACTCGTCACGCCGTGTCGCTTGCAAGCCGCTGAGCCTTCGATGATTCTCCTCTCTTCTCTCTCTCTCTCATTCACTCTCCTCGCTCCTAATCCTGTCCCTTCTTCCTCTCATGATCACCTGTGATGCCGCTGAATCGCCGACCCAGCATGGTACCCTTGATGTACCTAGTCAAACAAAACTGCCACGAAAGGGGGCAACCCGGCCCGCGCCCGGTAAACTTGAATTGATAGGCTAGTAGGCCTGGTACTGAAGCCTGGCAGCTGGCAGGAGAGCTTAGGGTACTGAAGCCTGCGGCATTGAAGCCTGCGGCAGCTGGCAGGAGAGCTTAGGGTTTGGGCAGGAGAGCTTAGGGTACTGAAGCCTGCGGCAGCTTGGCACTGGGAGAGCTTAGGGTACTGAAGCCTGCGGCGGCAGCTGGCAGGAGAGCTTAGGGTACTGAAGCCTGGCAGCTTGTAGGGTACTGAAGGGCCTGGCAGCTGGCACCGGGAGAGCTTAGGCCCGTACTGAAGCCTGCGGCAGCTGGCAGGAGAGCTTAGGGTACATCCAAAAGAACCAGCGGTGACGCCAACTCAGTGATCTTGCAACTTGACAAGCCTGCCCGGGCGCGGCTGAAATGCCGCAGTGCCATCTTCACTGAGGATGAGAATATAAGATATCACAGATCATATCTTTATAATTATAAGGTATTATATATCTTTATATAATTATAAGGTATTATATCATTTCTTTATAATTTGACGGTCAGTTGCTCTTGCGACGGCCCGATGACGACCACTGGAAATGGAGGGAAAGGAGCAAACTGACCGCGCAGAAGCGGGATGAGAGGCTGAGAGAGGAAGGAGGAAGCGATAAGCTCCTACTTGTTGGTGGGAGGAGAGCATTTGTATGAGAGAGCAGCCGTGTCGTTCTCGTTCAGGTGCTCGCACACGTGTTTGCTCTTGCAATCAGAAATGCTGTTTCGTTCCGGGCGCTGAACTTTTTCATCGCATGAAGGACTGACAGATCTCAGCAGGAAGATGGATGAAGAATTAGATGTGAAGAAGAAGAAGAAGAAGAAAGTGAGTGGAATCCACTTTGATGACACAATCGTGGTCTCAGAGAAGGTACAAAAACTGTCAAGAGCCACCGGGAAGCTTATCCTGTGACAGATAATCGAGGACTCAAGCGAAGAACTGAAAGAAAGGAGAGAAGTTTGGCATGATATTCAAGAAAGAGCGAACAGCATTGATTATGTAGCGCTTTGGTCGGGCAAACACTTGCAACCTGATGGATTTGTTTCCAGGGCATATCCGATGAGAGTCCCTGTGTAAGTCCAACCTTAGAATCGAACGCGGAGGAATCGAAGCGGCAAGCAATCTCAGATGCAACAAGTGAGATGTTCACACCTTCTCCTCCCGTCTGACTTCCCTTGCTGCAAACTTGTGATCGATGCTGTAGGTAAAGAGATATCGATTACAGCACCTCCTGAGCGAGAGAGTCAAAACGAACAAGAGAAGGAAGATGCGGATCAAGCGTTCGATTTACCTAGCGTCTCTAAATCTGGAGCATCACAAAACGAGAAGCAAGAGATTACGAGGATTCCGCGAGAGGAAGAGGTAGGAGGGAGTGAATCTAGTCTGTATCTTGTTGACTCACGTGCTCTCTTGGTAGGTCCCCTCTGCTGGATGCCCGAAACTTTCGTTGCCGAGCTTGAATGAGTTTGTGTCGGAGAAGGAGAAGGAGGAACTGTTCAACAGACTATCAAGAGAATTGCTACAGTATGTAAGCTTGTGGCCAGAAGCTTCAAAGCTCAGCAATCAAGAACAGAAACCGCAAGCTAAACAGAAATCGAATTCAAAACCAAACACTCGTCAACAACCGGAGGACTATCAAGTACCTGTGAAGACAAGAAAGCTTGCAGAACACTTCTTGGCTGCACTCAAAAAGTGGCTGAGCAGGACATGGCAAAAAGGAATGATTTTCAACAATACTTACCATATAGGCATCTTAATGGAGAAGGATTTGGACACCCTACGGCGAGGAAGGGATCCCATATTCGCCACAAAGCTAGAGACAGTGTGGAATGGTGATGGTTTTGAAGTGAAATCAGTGCCAATTCTCGAAATCGAGGAAGGCGATTGGTTGAATTTAGCTCAAAAATTCAAGACAAAGCACATTACTGGAAACAACTTTTTCCCATCCGAATCCTATCAAGCGAAATTAGATATCAATGAATTGATTGGAAAAAACGATGTTTCAAATCAAGAATTTCAATCTTTGTCAATACAAGCCGAATACGAAGAAGATACCGATGTCGGCATAAGTGTGCAATTCCAACCTCGTACTTCTCAAATCAACTTGAATACGGATGTGGACGGCAGGTTCTTCACTGATACAGCTGACATGAGGCGGGAACGAATCTTGAGACCATTCAGCAGTGAACCGATCTTGTCCGTATCCAAAACATTTGAAGATTCGCAAAACTTTGCCCGGTTTGGAAGATCAAACTCTTTCAACAAAGGATCCGTCTTCTCAAAATATACCTCCTCTAAGCCCACCAAGAGTTTAGCGCTGGACAAACCCTTCATGGAGTTTGCAAGGTATTGTTCCTTCAATCTTGAAGTTACTCGCTGACTATCGTGGAAGAGTGTATACTGGATGCTCTCGACCATCCATGCGCATACTCGAGCAGTGTAAGCAGCCATACATCCAGTACACTGAGAACCAGAAAAGAACTCAAGCATTGCTGGCGTTTCAGTCCATCTTGAAGACAGTCGAAAGCAGCTATCCAGACGAGCCGGTAACATGCAGTCCCTTGACCACACACGAACTTTAACCTCTTTGTAATCAGTTTGTAGAAGTGGTGGATTCAGATTTAACAGTGCAGAAAGAAAATCATATAGATACCGATAGACAAGAAAAGATACGCGAGGCAAAAGAACAATTTTCGCAAGTCACAAGGTCAAATCTTTCAACAATCATTCGAAGAGCTTTTGATTATTGAGCACATCAGGTCTTTTGAGCAATCTCAGCGCAGCAAAGATCTACTGCAGCAAGGGCTGAATCATGACGACTCGTCAGCCTTTAAGGCAAACACTGTTGAATTCCTGAGAAGACCGTTGCAACGAGTCATTCAGCGCGATTCAAATCTTTTGAAATCTCTGCAGATCTGTGCAAAAGTTTTGGATGAACATCACAACAGCAAGAGGATTTACGCGGGCAGAAGCTGGGACAATCCATTTCATAAAGGGGCTGATCTGCTCTACGTCAATCAAGCTCCCCTGCCAGGAATCAAGTTGAGCAAATCAAGTTTGACGTCGCCAAAGCAAGAATTCTCAAACGTGAGAAACAGGAAGGGCCCAAAAAGGTTGCAGGATGCAATGCTCTGCCTCCATTCCTGCGCTGACCGACGTACCAGGTTGACAATGACCTTCAACGGGAGCGACTTCGAGCATTCGAAGGACATTTCTGTCCCTCAAAGTCCGTACTCGTATAAGGTAATCTCTTGTACATACTTCTCGTCCTGACCTGATTTGCGCAGGTGCAATTCCCTAAATTCAAAGCTCTCAAAATGTAGCAAGTTTTCCATGTTCTATTAATTTACTATACACGTACAAAAATTGTTTCTTTGCAATCAGAAGAAAGTACTGAACGTCGCAATCCAAGAAGAAAAGCAATCAATATTAGATCTCCTTGAAGGGGCCCCAACCAGCAGTTGCAATGTCAACAACAAGTCCACAAACAAGACCCTGGCAAAAAGAGATGTCATGCACAACCATGAAAGCTTCTAAGAGCACAAACTTTAAGTAGTGTGTTGACTCACCAGCCCTGTTATAACGCCGACGAAAGCTAAATCCAACGTGCTCAGTTTTCCTTGATACGGTTGAATTAGAGGAGGATTTTCCTACCCTTGCATGTCAGCAGGCACATTGAGTTGTTGAGATCAGAACTCACAGGATACTGCGTGGAGCTTGTTGAAGCACTGAAAGGGTGGATCAGCTTTTCTATCAACTCAACAGTTCATGATGTCAACCTTTCGATGGGCATGGGAGTCGTTTGGGGGAGAGTAGTTTCTGTGGTAGACGCGGTTGTTGTAGTGGTTGTTTGAGAGGTTGTACCCGAGTTGGTCGAGTTGGTCGTGTTAGAAGCATTGGTTGTCGGGATAGGTGTAGTCGAAGTTATTGGTGTGGTGGAGGTAGTGGTCTGTATGGAACATCAAACATGGATTTTTGCGCAATGTTTCTTACCTCTTGGGGACATGTGCTCTCTGTGCAACAAGTGTAATAGATTAAAATGCCCAATGTCGCATTGTTGTAGATCACTTTGTAGGATCCGGTACTGGACGGAATCTGTAAGAAAGTCAAGGTGGAAATGACTTCCAGCCGATGGCACCATGGAATTGGAAGAAGGACTTGTAATTGGGCACACGAATATGGACGTTGTTTTCCATCTGAATTTCTAGTCATTTCGCAGGCAATCTCAAACAAAGCGAAATACGTGTCATTGTAACAACCCCTACTGTGTATGTTGGATGGAACTGATACATACTGGCTTGGTACTGTTGCAATAGACATTAGTAAGTAAAACAGCTTGGAAAGACTTGACCTATGTAGGAGAACGATTTGTTATTTGTCGAGTTGTCATATTTTAATTCCCAGATATCATAGCAGTATGTTTCATTCTGTGTACATGATGCTTGCTGCCCGTTGCTCTGCGATATCATCGTGATCACATGTCACGAGCAAGGAGGAGTAGTTCTCACCTGATAGCACATCAACGATGAGCTTTCTGCCGACCTCATCGCCTCCATGAGCAGCAGCGCAACCACCTGCCATGTTGTCGCCCCCCTCACCATCGCCCCCTTGAACATGGATGTGCCGCTTCACTCACAGTTGTTTTCCGTTGGAAGTCCGTTACACTTTCAAGTTGCTACCGCTTCCGAAACCGTTATCACCGTTACCGCCTTTTCATAAGCGAAAAAGGCGGGAATGGTGCGGGAACAATGTGCAAGGGAATGGAATGCACGAAGGAGGCGCTTTACCGTGATGTGATGATTGTTGTAAAGTACAAGCTGATTGAACAAGTTTGAACAAGTTTGAACACAAGTAAATAGAGCAGAAAGAAGACAACATGCAGAGCTGTTCTCAAGATATGTCCAGGATTCTGAATCTTCGGAAGAAGATACATCATGAAAAAGAAGCTATTGAATCATTGGAGTCCTTGATGCACCACAAAGGCAATAAAGTGCTCAACCAATTCCAAGAAATGTGTTTTGATGACGAGGAGTGCATGAAGGAAAGATTGCATGTGTTGGAGCATGAAGGTTTGAATCCCTGTCACAGGGTAAAGCCTTGCTACAGTACTGGCATCTCTCGGCGCGACTTTGAATTTTTTGCTAAGATGTGCAGATTGAAACTCTGCAGAAAAGTTTTCAGGCACTGGGTTTCCTTGAATGCTTCAATTCATTCCAAAACGAGAGATCTGAATGTTGCTCTTCTAGACCGGTATCGTCATTCGAAGGTGAAACGAAGATCTCTTCTCACATGGAAAAAGCTTACATTGCAGCAAATGTCCATCGGAGCAAAGCTTCAATTTCAAGCGTTTGCTGCAATGAAACGTGCAATAGTATCGTGGCGAGATGGCCTGTTCATAATCGCCTTACAAGTCAAGAATTGGAAAAGGCTAACACATGAAATGAAGGTCGATCGATTTGAGGTGAAATCTTCGGTGATCACTGTTTGTGATCGGTCTTTGAAAACGAATGTCCAGCTCATGGTGCTGAAGGCGTGGAGGGGTCTTTTGGTTTCTAAATCTAGAACTTACCGCTGTTTGGAAACCATCTTGTCTTTGTCATTTTCAAAAGCCCTTGTGCGCAAGATATTTATTCAAAGCATGTTTTTTCGTTGGTCCGAAGCCCTTTACACGAAGAGAAAACAATCGCATTTGAAATCTGTCACAGCCTTCTTAAGGATGACAAAAGCCCTTCTTTCAAGGAAAAGACAGGTTTCTGGAGAAGTTGATAGCCGTCAAGCTTCAAGACTTAGCAGGATTGAAATTACCCTGGATTTTGACAAGAACGAGACATCTCATAGCTCTATCTTGATGGTCAATATGGATCTGAAACTCTTCTGTGTCGTTGTGAGTAGAATTCCATTGAAGGGAATAATTCGAGATTCAAAATTTGAACTTGTGAAGCAACTCAAATCGACCTGTATAGTGAAGAACTTCACACAAAACAGCCGTGTGATGGAAACCAAGACCTTGCGGCTGGTGCAAGTGATTCCATTTCTTGTGAACATTGCAGTCAAAGCACTATTCATAGGATGGAAGAAAACTGCAAGCAGACCTCAAAATGTTGCTTGTAGACACAACACAAAAGAAGTCAAGACACCAGTACAGAACATCGACCAAACCGTTGTCTGTGAGAATGATGTGAAAGTTTAATCAAATGATCTTGTGACTTTTATTACAGGTATTAAACAACAATGCAAGAGCCGAGTGACTGAGAAGTGCGTGTTTCGAAGGTGTGCCAAAAATCACCTGAAACGCTATTTTGGTAAACCCAAGCGATTTGGAGAAAAACTGAAGCACAGAATTTGCAAACCTTTTCCATCGGATCACCAATATAACCAACTATCCACAATCGATCTGATCGACAAACGTCTATCCTCACAAATCCGCAAAGATGAAGAAACCAAGATAAGCATTGCAACCGTTCCTTCGATAAATGAGCAGAATCCGGCCGGGCTAGCAAGCAGCGTGATGGCGGGGGCGTCAGAGCTTGCAGCCGAGGACCTCGCAGCAGCAGAGCCAGAGGCAGGGGGAGCAGAGGGAGCAGAGGAAGCAGAGGAGGAGTCGCGAGGGGCGGACGTCGGGCACACGGTCAGGCAGGACGGAGGGCAGATACGGACGACGGAGGCGGAGGCGACCCCGCTGAGGCTAGCGGTAGGGGAGCAGTATCCGGCCGGGCTAGCAAGCAGCGTGATGGCGGGGGCGTCAGAGCTGGCAGCCGAGGACCTCGCAGCAGCAGAGCCAGAGGCAGGGGGAGCAGAGGGAGCAGAGGAGGAGTCGCGAGGGGCGGACGTCGGGCACACGGTCAGGCAGGACGGAGGGCAGATACGGACGACGGAGGCGGAGGCGACCCCGCTGAGGCTAGCGGTAGGGGAGCAGTATCCGGCCGGGCTAGCGAGCAGCGTGATGGCGGGGGCGTCAGAGCTGGCAGCCGAGGACCTCGCAGCAGCAGAGCCAGAGGCAGGGGGAGCAGAGGAAGCAGAGGAGGAGTCGCGAGGGGCGGACGTCGGGCTGAGTCGGAGGGCTTCAATCATTAAGTCTCGCTGTAAGTTTGTGTTTACCTTGTGTTCTTGTTTGACTTTTTTGTTTAGCTGGATGTGCTTGCGACGAGCATGAGCCGCCAGGGATACAGGTTGACTACGCCTCGTCACCTTGCTCAGAAGTGTCTAGCTCGCCGATCTCCTCAAGGGCCCTGCTGATCGAATTCAGCGAGACCAAATCCAGCGTCCACAGGTCACGGCGGGTCCTCAAACTGATCAACTCCAACTGCTGTCAAAGTGTTGAATCAATCACGTCTGAGTTGGTGGTGGAGCAGCGCAAGTGCACTGTGACGAAGAGATCGCAGAGAGAAGCATCGCGATCGAAGGAGAACGTCATCCCACCCTCTCCGAAGGGCAAGGAGGCAGAGGGAGGGCCGAGCAGTCTTTTCACCGTTTGGGAACCTGTGCTTGCCTTCCGATAGAGGTCACCGGGTCAGAAGACCCGAGAGAGCCAGAGCTAGCGATTTATTGCTTCCACATGCTTGACGTCGACGATGAAAAAAAAGATGTCAAGAGATTCAGGCCGACAGCATGTGACAGCTCTACAAAGGAAGTTCGTCGAGTCGGGAGCAGACGGCGTCCCAGCACTGCCATTGATTCATGTTTCCCACCTTGTGAGTTAGCTCTGCCTTCACCAGGGCAGAGAGCGCGTGAGCCTGCAGAAAATGAATGAGAGAAAGAAGATAGGAGTAGGAGGAAGGGAGGCAGGGTGTGTGTGTGTGTGGATTACAAGGCCTCAAACAATCATGATAGATTAACATAATGAATTCATCGCATATGACACAAGTCAGGCGTCCAATCAAGATGATCCGGGATGAGGAAGGAGAAAGGAAAGGGAGAGAGAGGAAAGGTAGGGAGAGAGGTAGGTTTCAAACCTGTCGGCACATCTTGAGGCTGCAGATACATTCCATCATGTAAGTTAAGCGAACATGCTCCCTCGAGTTCTCAGGGTCCAGCAGTGTCTTGTTGGCCCTCTCCTTGGCTTCTGCTGGAGACGCGAAGCGGTACCTGACTACCCGTCAGACCCCACCAGCTCCTCCAGCTCACTCACAGCAAGCGCTTGCCCGCGACCTCGTTATCGTACAAGTACGTGCTCTCCATCCCAAAGTAGATCAGCATGCACTCGAGAGCTGCATCAACACTCCTGAGGAACAAAGTCCGCGGCTGGCTCGTGGTGTCACATACTACTTGACTGTTCAGGTCCAGCACGGCCTCACCTGCAAGAGCTCGAAGTCTCCTGGCTCAAGGACGAGGAAACAGTTCTCCATCTCTTTGGAGGATGGCATCTGCTGCACTGCCTGTGCCGTCACAGGAAAAAGAACGCTGAAGGCCCGATCATTCTGTGAGATCATGTCCCAGTCTCGGTTCACGACGCAGCGCAGGAGCTGGAGCATGCTGTGAACATGTTCCAGCACCACCTGCCGACCTCGTCATCCCTCCCTCCCATCGCCATAGTATCTCTACCTTGCATGCTGGGCTAGAGAGCGGAGAGGAATCGAGCTCGTTCTTCCCCCCAAGAGATTTTCTGTAGACGTCCGCCAGCTTCCCCTTCACCAGCGGCTCAGCTGCCCCCCCTCCCCAAGCAGAAGCTCAGCTCACCTCTAGCTTGGGATTGCCCGGCGACACCCTCAGGCCCCTCATGTAAACATCAAAAGCTGCAGCAGCCCCATCGACCATCTCGACCGCCTGCCCCATGACGTCAGCACGAGGTATGACAGACCTTTTGACATGCCTGGCCGAGCCGCACGTAGCCCTTCCACCAGTCTGGCGAGATCTCCACACACTCTGCTGCGTTATCCTTGGCTTTACCGAACCTCCTCATATGCGCGTGCGCAGCACTTCGATTACTGTACAGAACGTGATTCCTCTGAGGACAGGAGGGTTAATTGCCAAGCACGACGAGATGGTAGGAATGGAACCGGGTCGAGAGCGATGCCGATAGAGTACATGATGACGGCTTCGTCATACTGTGCTCCTGCAAGTGCGAGATTTCCTTTTTCCTTCGCCTCCTGTGCACTCTTGGGCAGCGGCTGGTGCTTCTCCTTGACACCAGTCAGCACCATCAACCTCGACTCATCCCACCAACATTCACAAGAGATCATCTTAGACAGACACGCAACCATCACATCGACACGTCTACCTGCATGCCAGCTCCCGACTTGCTCGCATGTCCACCGATGTTCGGATGGCTCATATTGCGGTCATTCCCGATGTTGTCCAGCCCCCACTCCGACGTCTTGCCCAGCAGGCTGCCGATGGCTCTCACCACGAACCCGGGCTGCGAGCTCGAGATCAGCTGGGAAGGGTCAGAGATCATGGGGGCACCTGTGCAGCTCCTTCTCCGCGCGGCTCCGGGATGTCCGGGGGAATAAGAAGCTGGTTCTCGTCGAAGACTTTCATCACCGAGTGGGAGGTGATGGGCAGGGGCGGAAGCCTGTCAGCTCCGATCTTCTGCAGGAATGTGGAGACGGGGCGGATGATGTGATCGAGAGCATGAAACGAGTTGTGATCCACTCCCTCGATGATCTCAAGGCACTGCGAGGTAAGGTTGCGTCATCGACTGCCATCACAGCCGGAGAGGGGTTTACCTTGGCTTCTGCTGGGCACTTGTCGTAGAGGACGGACGCATGGCGAACAGGGATGAGCTCATCTTGTCTTCCATGGATGATCAACGTCGGCGAGTAGCAGTTGACGATGTCGGTCTCGTTGTCGAATCGATCCATGATCACATTGGCGATCGCACCCACAAGCTCCTTCGCAAGCGTCTTGATAGACCTGTAAGGGCTCTGCAGGACCAGGGCTGCCGCCTGCTTCCGCTGCTTGTGCAAGAGAGAGACGAGGTTCGTCGCTGGGCCAGTGCCGATCGACCTCCCGAAGATGATCACGCGTTGTGGAGGGATCCTCAACTTCTGGGTGAGGAAATTGAAAGCAGCTCGGGTGTGGCGATTGACCCCCCCCTCGCACGGGTTGCCAGGAACCGGGCCATAGCCAGGATACTCGACTCCGAGGACATGGACGTTGAGAAAATCACGAAATGCCTTGAGCAGATCGTGCGATAGCCCCAGGTCCTCCGCGTTCCCGTGGAGGTACATCATGCAACAGCATGCTCCCTCCTTGCACAGAAAGAGAGAGGGGAATCTTCCGTTCTCGCCATCGTCGAGCCAGAAGACGTCGCCGGGGAAGCTCCTCTCATTGTAGGTTGCAGGAGTGGGTGCGGCGAACAGAAACTCATTCACAAAGTCGTGATCTTTGATAAATGCGGCCATGTGCGCGGCCTTTTCTCACAAGAGATGTCTTATTCCCAGCTCATGTTCGCCTGAACTAAAGACAACGAGTCAACAAACCAGAGTCAGAGCTCACAGATTATCTCCTATCATCACGTTTGGAAGAGAAACCCTCTTTCGCAATCAGGACAGTGACATAGCACAACTGTCATCCTGACTGCTTTCCATAACCACCAAGTGATTCTATTTCCCAGCAACATGGAAACCCCTCACTCCCTTCCTTTCCACTCTGTCTGATGTCTCTGGTACTCGGTGTGAGAAGTTTTGTTCATGGTTTGCCCCTTCGTTGATCCTCAATTCTTTTCACCATACTCTTCACGCTGCGCTGATCTTATCTCCTTGCTTTGATCTTCCCATGCCCTCTCTTCCTCCTAGATCCTCGACTCGTTCTCCCTCGCATGCTCAGCCTCTCTGCTCTGCTCTCCTCTCCTCCGGTCTCTCTTGCCCTGCTCCCCACCCTCGCTCCCCATTGTTGTGTCATGCCAGCGCGCATCTCTGGTCCTTGAAAAATTTCACCAGTCAACTTCAAATCTTCTCACAGATTTTCAAAAACAATTTCAAGAGTGTGTTCGCTTGCTACCGGTGCAAACTTCAAAATTTCCAAGTCCGATAGGTAGGGGTACCTCCATCGAAGGGGTCTGTGCAGGGAACCAGCATTCATGTAGGGGTACTTCAGGTTGTTTTTATGTTTTAGTGAGGGTAAAGTACCCACCCAGTGAAGGGTAGAAATGGTGCAGAGTGTGTCTAGTCTAGTGAGGAGGGTGGGGTATATTGAAAGAGGGGGTAGGGTCTGTTGAATACATTTGGCAACTTGAACTTTCAAAATTGTGGCATCCATTCTATTTTTGAGAGCCTTAATTATTAATTCAAATTTCTGATTCACAATTCAAGAATACAAATCAATCTTCAAATTTCAAAATCAAACTCTACTCATTTTACTTAACTTTCAGTTCTAAACTGGCCGGGCCGGGCCGCCGTCGCGTCTCCGATCCGGGTCGTCGGGGACCCCCCAGGACTCGGTCGGAAGAGCCGGCAGGGGGGACCCCGGGTGGGGTGGGGTAGTCCTCATGCGGGTGGTCAAAGGTCTTTTTTTTCCTTTACACGGTTTATTTCGGGGGTGCTGGAGGGAGGCAGGGGGGGTAGTGCCCATTATGGTATAAGGGTGGGTTGTGCCAGTGGGGAAAATGGCAGGGAAAACCGGGAAAGGGAAAACGAGGGCCTGAAGTTGGAGAAGAAAGGAGAGACCAAGAGCTCAGGGGAGCAAGTGAAAGCTAGTAGAAACGAGTCGAAGGATTGAGGGGCAAGCAGGGAGTGCAGATTCGAAAGAAAAGTAAGACTTCATTGTTGATACGGATCCTGCCTGGGTGGGTTGACGAAAGAGGTGGTTTGGTGGTGGTGCTCTTTCTGATGCAAATAGTCTTCTGCATCTCCAGCAGCCCCAATGGTCGTTCAATGTTCATGTGAATGAGTTTTGGTTCGGAATTTCTATTTTCTCCTGATCACGGTCTTGAATCTGGTACACGGGATGCAAAAAACTTCTACGAGCTCTGGTTGTGAAGAATGCCCCTGGGTGACATCACATACATACAAGTGCCAGATCCTTTGCGTCATTCCCTTCCTGGGAAACCTGGTCAGCGACTTTCGGGAAGATCTTCTTTCAGCTCTGAGCACAAGAATGTCAGTCATTCCCTTCCGTCGGTCAGAGCTGTTAGCTCAGGACGAGGAGGGACGGGATTCTTTGTTCATTGTCTCTCATGGTGAAGTGATTGCTCACATCGAGAAAAGAACATACAAGTTTGGTCCAGGAGATTATTTCGGGGATTGGAATTTCTTTCATGTCCAAGCACACAAACACAGCAAGTATCTTGCATTAACGGACGGCATATGCTTGAGCCTCTCAAAAGCTTCCTTCGACGAGGTCCTTACAGCATTTCCTCCAGAAGTCGCTGAGCATCTTTCGATATTCAGCGAATATTTCCACGGCTTTGACTTGAACGAAGAGTTTCAAGCAGAGCGACCGGCGCAGGTTCGCTGGTTGTCAATGTTTCGCAGGTTGCTGGTCAAGTCTCAAGGGAGGCTGCAGGAATCCAGCGAGAATTGGAAGCCCAAGGCGGTCGCGTCACTCACATCTACGATATCCTCGATGACTGCCGAAACTCAAAGGCTCCAAGATCAGCTCTTGCAGGCTTCCAGTCAGGCGGACGTTGACGAGAATGCTATGGCGATCATGAGCGCAGAGCTTCAGTTGAAGAGTTCTTTCCTGATCATGCACCGGCGGTTGTTGGCGATGTTGCTACTTCATACTTTGGGAGGACAGCTGGACATGATACAGCGGAAGTTCACTTGGGTTCAGTCTTGCTGTACAATACTTTCTGCACTCAATAAATAGATTTCTACTTGATGATGCAACAAACAAATATCAAAGAAGCTATGTTACAAGCCGTTCTGATCACAGTTCTGAATCGTAAGTCGAACTGTTCTCAGCTGGGCTGTTGTCTACCTGCGTATTGGCAACACCATTATTCGTTGATTTTCCTGTTGCAGTTGTCAGTAGCCTTTGTCTTTGTCACAAGTGGATCGATAACACTCACTCTTCAAGCTCATGAGCATGGGCTCAGAAGCTCTGCCACGGAAGAAATATGGTTGTTTGGTCTGTGCCTGCCTCCCAGGTTTCCCAGCTGCTGCTTCCGCGTATGTCGGTCGATTGCCGTCTGCGTTGTTGACTAGGCCTGTCAAACTCGACTGACAGTCAAGAAGCACCAACCTGTTCCGAGCCCATCATCGTCCCACAAGAAGTCAGCCCCATCTGGATATCCTCCTCCCGAGCTCGCCTGACCAGTTCTTGATCGCACGAAGATAGCCTGCTCCCCTCGTCAGTGAACCAGCACCGTTGGAGAAGTAGAGGCTCCGACCGGGAGTCTTATCCTTGATAGGCGATGAAACAAGAACATCAAGGCTGGGAACGAGTTGAGGGTGCCGATGGGAGAGGTCGTGGCAGTCCTGAGACATTCATCAGGCTCCAACAGGGAAGTCACTGTAACCTGACCCGTTCGAAACCATCAGTAAGTTCACTTCCGCCTGGAAGTTCCCTGGGTCTATTGGGATTTCTTCTAGCGGGTTCAATTCAGCAAGGCCAGGGATAGAGCTCAAGTTGAAACTCGAATGGTTTTGATAGACAACATCAAAGTTTTCCGGGAGGCTCCACGAGGAGCGGGAGAATGTGTTCATATTGTCAGCTTCCGACCTCGGCTGCACGAATCTGTGTCGACTTGGTGCTGCTTGCCTGCTGATCGGATAGTCAAGGCTGCCTGCCCCATCCAACACGTTCCTCCCCTCCATCCTATGGTGGATACAAGAGTCAAGTCCTTCATCCGACAAGGAGGTCTCCTGATCGTCCGTCTCTGTGCTTGATCGCATCGTTGACGGCAAGTTAGTGAAGCTTCCTCGCAGCATGCCTGAGTTCCCCGAGCCCCCCAACGTGAGCATGAAAGGGCCGGAGAACGAGAAAGTTCGCTGCTGTGCAGGCTCTCGGGGAGGGTTCAATGGGGAGGGAGAGGGGTTTGAGTTTGCTCCTCCAGTCTCTTGGTTGATCTGAGAGAGTGACGTCAGAGGGAAGAAAACAACAAGGAGACAATGTCAATCAAGACCTCTTCTGCCCTGCTGTCTAGACCATCATACACTGTTCCCGCTCGAGGAACAACCGCCCGTTCGCCCCCCCCATCCAACGTCATGGCAACCGTGATCTCCGACACAGCCAAGCACTGTAGCAAGAAGGTAGTCAGAGCTCTCCTCTGCTTCCTCTTGCTGCAAATCTTTTGACGCCCCGAAACGGACTGGAGGAACTTGAACTCTCCCGTCGTCGGCAAATCAATCGAGACACCCCCCTTTCTACAGGTCGCCGGTTCCATGACGTTTGAGAAGCACCCAGCACCACCAAGGCAGGAGCTTCTTGTTCTCCCGCTGCTCCAACATCGCATCTCATCCATCAGCCCCGACCCTCGATCCGCCCATTCCCCCCTGTAAGGACCGCACTCACGGCTCCACGACCTAGTTTGTCCGCTCTGCGACCATCTTGCCCTCGCTCCCTCCTCATCCACGTCGCCTCCTCCATGGACCCGTACGCTGTTCTTCTCTTCTACCTGCGCCATCCTCGTCCTGCTGCTTCAGTTCGTCTGCTCCTCTCCCTCCCCCCCCTGCTCCCTCCCTTGCCGCCTTCGCTCTCTCATGCCCCGACAGAGCCTTTAAAAGCTTTCTTGCTAATTTCAGTTGAAAATCGGTTAAATGTAGTACTTTCCTGTTAGCCGTAGCAGTTCGACCTTAAAAGTATGCTGTTAGATGTGAAATTAGGTTACATTTGTTTTAATTTAAGAACTTTCTCTCTAAATTAAGCGCTTTCAGTCCAGTTTTAAACCGAAATTAAGCCTGGGAACCGACAGCATGCCAACCTGGGCTGGTTGGGGAGGAGGAGGAAGAGGAGGAAGAGGAGGAAGAGCGTGGAGCGAGGAGAGGAGATAAAACGCGGCTGAAGTGCGACTGGAGCCCGAGGACACAGCCATGGCATTATCACATGATCGCGAGTACGAGGATGGTGAAGGTTTCTTTCAACCCCCAACTTCAATCTGGGAACAAATCAAGGTGATAGTTTGGATCTGACGATGAAGGGTGGGTTAACAATGTATGCGAGCAGGAGAAGTTGCACCCATCTGAGATTCAGGAAGTGAGCAGCATTCTAGGTCAGAGCCTGATCGATAAGAACAAAGAATTGCACGACGAAATCAAAAGTCTGCTGATGATTTTGGAGGACTATGTAAAAGAAGTAAGTACTCTTTGATGGCGAATCGTCTTCAAGTTCACTGATTGTTATGTCAAGGTTGATCAGCGAGAGAAGCAAAGAAACTGGAACGTTCAACTCGGCCGAGATTCGAACAAAGACTTCCTCGCCTCTGAAATTCGTGACTTCATCTCTGCGTTACGTGAGGGAACGTCAGACGCGGTTACGAAGCCTTGACGCCGCTGTTATGCAGGGAGCCAGACGTCCACCCCCATCTCCCTCCGTCCCAAGTCAGCCAAGGATCGATCGGTGAAGTCCAAAATGATGGGAGACGCCCATGACCGCGTTCACAAGGTTTTGTCATTCGTCATGCCGGATTGCTATCACGAGGATGAGCTCCCATCTGCGAGGAAGCTGCTGTACGTCTTCCAGCATGTTTGCTCAGTGATCTGAATGTGATTCTGTTTGCAGATCATCTCGTGGACAGAGCCGGGGTGGAAGAGATGGGCAGGCGTCGCAGGAGGAGAGGTAAGAGGAGGCTTCAGTACAAAACTCTTCATGGGGAGTTGATTGCAAGTCTTGCTAGGAACAGACCGATGACTGCTGACCTCCTTGGAAGTCTGACAAGACAAGCAGCTGCTGGTGATATTGGTGTCCTGTGGGAGTCTTGACTGAGGAGATCCTTCAGAGCACGACAAATTCTCGCTGGAGACCGTAGAATGCCTGTCAGAGAGGTTCAGAGAGGTTGTTTTGATTGTGCGAGATGGACTTTTTTTGTGATCATGGGCATCAGATTCTCAGTCTTGAAGAGAAAGATCTCCTTGACCAAATCGATTTCCTGTGAGCTTTGTTCTTTTACAAGAAGACTTGCGATTATGACAGGCGTTGCTGATGGCATGTCTTGTCAGGCATTCCTGTATTGAGGCCGAGCAAGAACGCGACAACAAGAACATGTGTACAGACATGCTGCCGACTGAAAGAGACCTGAAGGACCTGAGAGACAGATTGCAGGTCAGACAGAGCTTCGATCCGATAGTTTGACTTCTCGCATATTCCAGCCTGCTGACGCTGATTTGATCGAATTTGATCGCACCCTTTGCTCTTTGTGATTGCCATCTCTGTTGTTTTTGTCAGACCATCTCCTGTCCTCTTCTATGCATGACTTCTACCATGACATGATGTTTATGTAATGTTGAACAAATCGAAGTTTTCTTTATCATTTAGCTACGAAGTTTTCTCTATCATTTAACTCTTTCTATGCCTTGAGCCATGTCCCATTTGCAACAACATTACTTCAAATCTCCTTGATCTAACTTCCCGCATTTCAGGTTGAGTTGTCCATCACTGCAGCAGAAAGCAGAAAGCAGATGCGGAGCAAGACTCTCTTCCCTCTTGCAAGAAGTCTCAAGCCCGTCAGCGACCTGCCTGCCCCTCCCCTCGCTCCTCCTCTCCCCCTTCCTGTGCCCCCCTTCAACCAGCTTGAGGGACCAACGCAGGATACGCCGGGCCCTCCTCCTCCCATTCCTCGGGCCGAGCTCGGGATCGATTCGGATGAGGAGAGGTTTCTGTTCGGAGACGATTCAGAGGAGGAAGAGGACGGGAGTGCGAAGGAGGCAGTAGCAGAGGAGGAGAGGAAGAGCAATGTGGACATCCTTGTGCTCGATCACGAAGAGGAGCAGCTGGTGGACGCGGCTCCAGCACACGAGGAGGAGAGTCATCGGTCCCGACGGGAAGGGATCGTGCTGCCTGTTCAGCAGCAGCCTGGCGAGCTTCCGACGGTGACGCAGGACGTGAGCATGACATCATTAGGAGGCAGCGGGCTGCAGGAGGAGGAGGGAAAGAGCAGACGAAGTTCGGTAAGGAGCCGACACAGGCGACTGATCGAGGACGCGAGAGCCAACGCGGCGCTCGTATCGTCCTTGAGCGCAGAGGGGGAGGACGAAGGGGAGGACGGGGGAGGTCGGGGTGTGGGAGGAGGAAACGGAAGGGGAGGCGGAAGTGCTCCAACTCCTCCAAAGGCTGCGAGACCCGTTGATAGGATGAGACCAGCCTATGCTCGCCCGTCAACGATGACGAGGAGGGACAAGAGCGACGCACCGGGGGGAGAGAAGAGGCGAGAGGAGGTAGATGGTGTGAGGAGGCAAGGATAGTGGAGGAGGGGGAAGAGGAGGGGGAAGAGGAGGAAGGAACTTTGAGTTAAGATTCTCTTTATTCATCGCTTGCTGTGCTCGGGACACATTTTGACTTTTTTGATCTCCTCCTCCTCCTTCCTCCTCCTCCTCCTTCCTCCTCCTCCTCCTTCCTCCTCCTCCTCCTTCCTCCTCCTCCTCCTCCTCTCCTCCTCCTCCTCCTCCTCCTCCTCCAACACGATAGTGGAGTCCTCTTCCCCTTCCTTTTCTCCCCTCCTCTTCTTCCCCTCTATCCTTTCATCATATCCATTAATTTCACTTCCCCAACTTCTTCCTCTCACCTCTCCTTCCGGTGTCTCCAGGGTCTGCAACGAGAATTTCCCACCAAACTTCTTGACGTCCATATAGACCGCACAGCCCACCTGGCTCTTT